TGGGCAGGGAGGGCGGCGGCTGCTGCCGCTCTCCCCTCGCCCCCGGGCCCGGCACCCCGTCCGGGCTCTCGTTCTCCTTCCTGTCCGGTTCAGAGGGGCTGGGGCAGGGCGGGAGGCTGCTGTGTGCCCCTCGTCCCAGGAAGCGCTTTGAAGCAGTTCTTGCAGCGCTTGGGCTCGGTCTGCCCGACTGGAGAGTTTTCCTACAGGTAGCCAGAGCGATGAGTCCAAGAGCCACGTGTAAGAAATAACCGATAGAAAATGCTGAAAAAGACTGAGTTTGGCCACGTTCCTGGTTTTGGCTTAAGTATTACAGATGAAAACTAGTTTTAAACCTCCTACTGCGCATGCGACTTCAGAATCAAGTAAAAATCTGTGTTCCTTTAAGTAAATAAATTCTCTTTGTTCACTTCACCTAACTGAACTCATTGAACAAATCACTGCTTGATTATTCTTCTGGACTAACCTATTCAGTCTTTAAAAAAAAAAAAAAAGTTAAAAAAAAAAAGAATGTACAGGTGAGGATGAACTGAAAGACCTCTGTCAGTTTCAGTGAGGCAAGATCTGATGTACCACTCTTTTCCACTCTGCTCTTCAGCAGACGTTTATCTTTTCCGTTAGGTTTTCAACAAACTCCCTGACCTTCCAGGATAGGCATTTCTGCTGTTGTATTATTTTTATGGTTTGCAGTTCTTGCATCTCACCTAAACCTCTGTTACAGCACAAGTCAGTGTCATCTGGTGGATGCAGAGAACGCTTGCTCCTTGTCTTTAAGCAGATGGTTTTAGTCTAAAGGCTATCATGTTTTTGTATTTTTTGATTCTTCAGTTTTTCTGAAGAATATGGTGGCATATGTTATGTCTGTTATACTTGATGGTATTTTTTCCTCTGCTTTTGTCCATTTTTTTTTAAACGTGGTAATTTAAAGTAGATAAGAGGTCTCACCAGTGCCAGGTAGCATCAAATCTGTGTCTGAACTATGTTTCTCTTGTTAAACACCCAGAATAGTATTTATCTAGTCATATAGTTTACACACATAAGCCGGGCAAAGATTTATAAACTTCCATGGAAGTTAAAAGCTCTTGATTCCATTCAGGAGCGGTAAAACAGGAGCTACAGTGCTGGGCCTGCAAATCAAAAGGCAGATCAGTCTTTTCACTCAATAAAAACTTGCAGCTACCTTTTCCTTCGCTCCTAATCTGCCCTGTCTGTGTCTCCCCAGCTGCAGCATCCAAGTGCTGAAGTGAGAGAGTATGCCTGTGCCAGTATTTCCAAGCTGTTGCAGCAGAAGCATGTAATCCCAGCCTTTCTGCAGAGAGATGTTGTCCGGTGTTTAGGACCACTGTTGATGGATCACAGTTTAGCTGTTCGTGAGACAGCTGCAGGTGCTCTCCGGTAAGCAATTGTTCATATTCAGTTAGAATGAGGTACTCCTGGCATGGTAAAGAAAAGAGTGGGTTTTTGCTGTTAAAAGCCATGAATTTGAATGCCAGCCTATCTTGCTTTAACTCCGTTTTGAGCAAGTATGCCTATGTCAGTCGAAGTCCCCAAGAGAGGGGCTTTTCTTGCTCCAATAGGCTGCCATGAGACTTTAATGTCAGGAGCAGTGTTTAAGTTAGGTACTACTGTTTTATCTACTCCCAGTGGAATGCGCTGCTTTCCATCCTTATGTTAAGGAAAAAAATCAACAGTCGTATGAAGAAGTATAGAGAACTTGAATGCTGTTAGTATGGCATTTTGTGTCTTGATAACACTGTAGGAGCAGTGGGTTAGTTAGAGAATGCACACAGATGGCTTTTTGAGAAACTTGTAAATATTGAACAGCATCATTTTGAGTTGGTTTTCTACGGTCAGACCTACAGCTTGCTTTATTTGTACAAAATGTAATGCTAATAGTTGTTAACATTCATGTTGTATCTTACACTGAGTAATACCTGACAGAAGTCATGTTTTAGTACAGATAAGCTTTCTAGTTAGGCTAGAAAGCAAGTGAAATTTTTTTTTTTTCCCTAACAGCAAAGTTACTCTCTTTTATGTTAGGAAGGTAGAAGACTAAAGTTATTGATGAAGCAGATGGATTTTAAAACAAAAAGTACCATAACCTTTAGAGAAGAATAACGAATGCACGGGTTTTTTTGAAACGTTCCTGGAAGGTATTGTATCTGATCCAAAGCATTTATTTTTTTTCCCAGAAATCTGAGTGCTTGTGGAGGATTTGAAGTCTGTGATGACATGGTGACAAAAGACATCATGACACCCCTTGTCGCACTTCTGAAGGAGGTGTGTTTATTTTTATTCTGATTTTAAAACTGATTTAGCCATTGAATTATCCCATTTTCAAAAATAGTTCAATTTTTGTAGCTATTATCAAGATAGCTATATCAGCTGTATGTATCAGCTATATCAGATAGCTATTACCAAGATAGCTATATGCAAGAAGAAATTTTTTATGCTGAGGGTGGTGAAGCACTGGCACAGGTTGCCTCGAGAGGTGGTGGATGCCCCATCCCTGGAAACATTCCAGGTCAGGTTGGGCGGGGCTCTGAGCAACCTGATCTAGTTGAAGATGTCCCTGCCCACGGCAGGGGGGTTGGACTAGGTGACCTTTAGAGGTCCCTTCCAACCCAAACTATTCTATGATTCTAAGATAAGATACTTGAAAAATCTTTTAAAATAATGTTTCAGTAGGTTTAATAGTACAAAAATTATTCCAGAGATTTCAAATCACTTTCTTCTGCCTCCTGCCCTGCTAACTTGGGTCCGTGGTGAGGTTTGCTGCCTAGGATGATTTTTACATAAACAGTCTGGAGATTTTGGGTCTGGAGTGTCAGTCAAGACAAGTCTATTTTGTCAGTCAAGATCCAGATCCAACATTTATGTTGCAACATCATTCTAGTGAGGTTTTTTGGTAAACAGTTTTTTCTAAATGAAAGCTTGGGTTTACAGTTAGGTAGTTACTGCTATTGTAGAATAATCTGTACTGAATACCTATTCTTTGTTTGGTCCAGGTGTTGCAGTGCAGTTTGGAAATTGCATTGAATTCTGTCACGTGCTGTCTTTGTATGAGCAGCCTTGAGCAATACCATCATTTTCTGTATGTTTCTTCCCCATTTTAAAATATGGGTAATAGCATTATTGCAAAGCACAGCAAGATATTAGCTGAATTAATCTTTGTGATTAGAAAGAACTGTTCAAAATTGCATATGGACTGTATTAGCAAGAAACATCATTTCAGGTTCTAAAATTGCTAAGTATTTCTTCATAAAAAAAATGCTTCTGAAGACTACTGAATGCAAAGCAAGTACTGTAAGAGTCTTTCTACAAGAGAAAAAAAATTGTCAATTATTCAATTCTATTGTGGCCCAGTTTTCATAGAGAATAGGAAACTAGTCAGGTTTTCTGGTAATAAACACTTCATGAGAGAGCTCTCCTTTCACTCTGCTGCTAATGTTTTAAGTTTTTGCTTTTCTTGGCTTGTTTGATTCCCAACCCTGGTCCTCTTGTTTGGTTGTAGTGTAGCACTGGACTAGATGCTAACCAGCTGTCTCCAAAGAAATGCAGAGAGATGAACAAAAATTATATTGAAGACATAGCCAATGAGGCTATTAATTTGCTGTGGAATGTATGGTAAGTGCTGTGTAAACACTGGCCTCTTAGAAGAGCTAAATTAACTTGTTCCTGAAAAAGAGCATGGTAATTGAGGCAGAAAAGAAATGACTGTCCTTGCATGGGAAGATGTATTCAGTTGCTGATTCTGATTATGTTGTTCCTACGTGTGCCTTGCTTAATAAATGGCAAGCCCTCATCTGATCTGAAATACAAGTTTATCTTCTACCATAAATTACTTTTGTAAGTGAAGGATTCTAAACGTGCACAAAATTGGTCATTAGTTTTAGGAGAGTGACAATTTTTTTTTTTTCTATTGGCTGTTCATCCTAAGTTC